TTTAGCCACTTCTCCTGCAAGATGCCTGAAAAAAAGACCATTAAGGCAATGATTAGTCAGATCATTCAGATCAGAAGAAAACTTACAGAGAGTTAGTCATATCAGCTTCTCTGGCTATGCATGCATATTTGATTAGATAATGCCTCTTTTGCATATTTAAACAACATTTTAGAAAAGCCATTTTTAATGAAATCAATCGTCTGGGGCATATGATATTCCCACCCACCCTATTCACCTCCAAACAATAACAGAAAAAAATGCAATAAAAATAAAATTTTTTTTATAGATAATGCCTCATTTGCATATTTAAACAACATTTTCAGAGAGTGTTTTGCCATTTTTAATGTAATCAATCACTTGTGGTATATGGCGATACTTAATATTTCCCCCACCCTATTCACCCCCATACAAGAACAGAATAAAATGCAATAAACAAATGTTTTTTGAATAGATAATGCCTCATTTGCATATTTAAACAACATTTTCAGAGAGTGTTTTGCCATTTTTAATGTAATCAATCACTTGTGGTATATGGCGATACTTAATATTTCCCCCACCCTATTCACCCCCATTCAAGAACAGAATAAAATGCAATAAACAATAAATGTTTTTTGAATAGATAATGCCTCATTTGCATATTTAAAGAACATTTCAGAGAGCGTTTTGCCATTTTTAATGTAATCAATCATCTGGGAAATTTGGCAATACCTTATATTTTTCCTCCACCCTATTCACTTCCAGACAAGAACAGAATAAAATGCAATAAAAATAAATGTTTGTTGATTAGATAACGCCTCATTTGCATATTTAAACAACATATCAGAAAGCTTTTTTGCTATTTTTAATGTAATCAATCTCCTGGGGAATATGGCGATACTTAATATTTCCCCCACCCTATTCACCCCCATACAAGAACAGAATAAAATGCAATAAAAATAAATGTTTTTTGAATAGATAATGCCTCATTTGCATATTTAAAGACCCTTTCAGAGAGCGTTTTGCCATTTTTAATGTAATCAATCACCTGGGGAATTTGGCAATACCTTATATTTTTCCTCCACCCTATTCACTTCCAGACAAGAACAGAATAAAATGCAATAAAAATATATATTTTTTTTGAATAGATAATGCCTCATTTGCATATTTAAAGAACATTTCAGAGAGCGTTTTGCCATTTTTAATGCAATCAATCTCGTGGGGAATCTGGCTATACCTAATATCTTCCCCCCACCCAATTCACCTATAGACAACAACAGAATAAAATACAACAAAAAATAAAAATAAATGTTTTTTGAATAAATAATGCATCATTTGCATATTTAAATAACATATCAGAAAGCTTTTTTGCCATTTTAATATAATCAATCTCATGGGTAATATGGCGACACTTAATATTTTCCCCCAGCCTATTCACCTCCAGACAATAAACGCATAAAGTACAAATACAAAATAAAGTGGCCTTGTTAAATGTTTCACTTTAGCAATTACAATTAATTATGCCTAATTTACATCCAACTAACCCTAAAACAAACACATCGTGACCCTGACCATATAGTAAGTACATGTGCTTAAGTAATATTTCTCAGTAGTACGGTTGCACAATACCAGGGAAATGTGTGATATTTTTGTTGAGTGTTACAATACCAATATTTCTTATGCGATAACTACCTTTAAAACATGCTGTTTTATCATTATATTATAAAAAATTATTTTATTTGTGTAATGAAACTAAACTAAAACAAGTTATAGAAAACATTTAGACTTTAAAACATCATAAATGACTCAAATTCTGTGCAGAAATTATGATTATTGATGTTGTCATTTCTCTTGTCTCCCAGTTTTAGTGGTTATTTTTTATTGTTAACGTTAGCAGAGTTTTGACTTTAATAAAAGCTTTTTGTGATGCGGAAAAAGAAAAAAAATCATCAATAATAATTTATAACAATCAATATAAACCCAATATTCACACTCAGTAGAGCAAGTAGCCCCTCTCCTTTAAAAAACAGCTCTGCCAGTAAGACCTCAAGCACATCAAATGAAAAGCCAATGGAAAGAAGGGGGCGAGGCACGTCAGACAATAGAGAGCATTTGATTGGTCAGAAGGTTTGATGAGAAACTGAAGTATGAGGAAGAGACAAACTGCAAGCTTTGGATGTTTATATCAGGTTGAGATCTTCTAAATGTCAATTTCTGTCAGTGTTTTGGAGCACACTAGAGCAGGGGTTCCCAAACTTTTCAGCCCATAACCCCCAAAATAACAATGCCAGTGATTCGCGACCCCCAATATCCTCTGAGATGGTTATAAATATATAAAACTTGCACACAACGGCGCACAAAATAGGCCCAAGTCTATTTTTCGTTTAATTTTGAAGAACACCATTTGGAGATCATCCTCCATGTTCAGTTGTGGGCTGTAATTATTTTTAATGTACATCAGTGCCCTAAAGGTATCAAAGTTTAACATGGTGCCATGAAATCAATCTGCTGCATCTGACACCATTTCTTTGCGTTGTCTTTAATATAATGTAATCACACCAGGAGTCGCAAAAAAAAATAAAAAATAAAATAAAAAAATAAATAAAAATCGAAAGGCTTAAAAATGATGGCTTTTTATTTACATGTTGTTTTTTTAATGCAACTATAACCCATATTTTATTTTTTCTTCTGTAGATCAATGGTTCTCAAAGTGGGGGTCGGGACCAACCGAGGGGTCGCGGGACAATGAAGGGGGGTCGCCTGGTGGTTTCCAAAAATCTATTTATATTATATTTATATTTTTAAACCATAAGAATGACCATATTTTATCCATAACCTTCTGAATAGAAAAAATAGTCGTTTATACTATATATAGTTACTATAGTAGCTTATAGTTACTACTTCTATTGGATTGCAACCCCTGGGGTAATTGCATTGTATTGAAGACACAGCAATAGCGTCAGATGCAGCAGATTGATTTCATAACACCTGGTTAAACTTTGTGGCCCATTTACAGCTCTCATACATAAAAAAATTAAAAGAAGAATGGACTTGGGTCCATTGGTGTGTGTGTGTGTGTGCCATTGCATGCAAGGTTTCTGTATTTATAACCACCTCAGAGGATATTGGGGGTCACGAATCACTGGCATTGTCATTTTGGGGGTCGCGGCCTGAAAAGTTTGGGAACCCCTGCTGTAGATTATGGTGATTATAATAGTTTAATAAAATAAATTAGATTTTTGGAAATAACCAAGCGAACCCCTGTCATTATCCTACTACCTCACGGGGGGTCCCAACCCCCACTTTGAGAACCACTGCACTAGACTATAGATATCCTTAAAACCAACATACTGATACTAATATCTAACTTTTTTTTTTACTAATATCTAAACTTTATTTTAATTTCACAGGACCTTTAAGTTCACAATACCAGCAGTGCGGTGATGTTTGCATGTTCAGGATTGGAGCAGGTTTCTCATACCTGACATATTCATGTCCCCAGGATGCCAGCTCCTCCTGTGAGCCCAGCAGACGATACTTCAGACACTCTCGCTCATTGCTCATCGTCATGGCCAGAACGGACACCACATCAGCACAGAAATGCTGCCAAACACAAAGAGAATTACGGCCATATTTTATATTTTTTCCCGTAAACTGACATGACATACAACAAACGTACAATAAACTATAAATAATGTAAAATAATGCAAAATTCTTAAATGATACCAAACAATTCATTGTTCCTATTTGTACCCTGTTATCTAATTGTTTAATTTTTAAACCACAGATTTTCCACACACACCTTGTTCTCTCCTGCCGTCATGTTCTGGTAGATGTCTTTGAGTTTGGCGTAATGTGGTCGCAGGAACTTGAGCGGTTTCGGCACAGACGTCATAGAAGTTGTGGAGGAGCGAATCTGACGCCGCAGTTCCTCCAGAGCGGGACGATACAGAGACGTGTCCTTCTCCTGACAAACAAAACAAAAGCACAACCTGCCTAGTTAACCTAATTAACCTAGTGAAGCCTTTAAATGTCACTGTAAGCTGTATAGAAGTGTCTTGAAGAATATCTAGTCAAATATTATTTACTGTCATCATGGCAAAGAGAAAATAAATCAGTTTTTAGAGATGAGTTATTAAAACTATTATGATTAGAAATGTGCTGAGAAAAACTTCTCTCCATTAAACAGAAAATGGGGATAAAAATAAACAGGGGCTAATAATTTTGTGGGGTTAATAATTCTGACTTCGACTATACATTGCAGGGATTTTTCTAATATTGTGCAGCCCTAAAATACACAATAAAAAAATAAAAGAAAACTTACGCCCAGTCTTTCCACAAGCATCTCCAACTCCTCCTGAAGCTGTTTGTCTTCCTCTGACTGCAAACACGACAAATACAGAGGAGACATGGTTATTTACGACCACACATGCATCATAAATCTGTAACAACAACAACAACAGATAATTATTTTTAACCTCAGGAAAAACTCCTCCCCAGTAAAGCTCATCGATAGACTAATGCTACAAACACACATTCATTCACCAAACCCAGTGATTAAACACACTCATATGACAGCACAACTTTCCTAGATCAGCTTAATCACTGTACTGCTCGATAAATCTAAGCTAAATAAATCTGTATAAATTATATTGTAAATAATTATTTTAAAACCTCAACGCATTTCTCCTCAGTGAAACTAATATCCACACACATTCATTCAATAAGGTAAAAGCTGGTGTTTAAACACTCGTATGACACAGCACGACTTTCCTAGATCAGTTTAATCACCGTACTGCTTGTATTACATATCTTTTAATCACATTTATGAAGTTTAGTCATGTTTATTGCTGCGTTAACAAACGATATCCCTATACATATTCACTAGATTAACATGTGGTAATGTTATTCAGCTAAATAACCAATTAAGTGTCCAAGCATGTTATGAACACCTCAAATACAAGGTGAATATTCTTAAAAAGCCCTCTAGAAGTTTACATCATAAATAATTATTCACTGTAGTTTAAAGTGATCACGATATCATTGTACATGTTCATTATCATAATATATTTAATTATTAAATATATCAGCATGTCTACAATGCAAATTGGTCATTTTAGGTTGTTTTTTTTCTTTTTTTAAATAGAGTTAAAAAACATATCTGTATTAAATTGTGTGTAAATAATTATTTTAAATTCTCAAAGCATTTCTCCTCAGGGAAACTAAGTTACATTCACACACGTTCATTCAATAAGGTAAAAGCTGGTGTTTATACACACTCATATGACACAGCACGGCTTTCCTAGATCAGTTTAACCACCGTACTGCTTGTATTACACATCTTATAATCACATTTATGAAGTTTAGTCATGTTTATTGCAGCCTTAACATACAATATCCCTATAACTAGTCATTAGAATATCATGTGAAAATATTATTAAGCTAATTAAGTGCCCAAGCATGTTATGAACACCTCAAATACAAGGTGAATATTCTTAAAAAGCACACTAGAAGTTTACATCATAAATAATTATTCCCTGTATTTTGAAGTGATCATGATATCAATATTGAGCATGTTTATTATAATGTTATATTTAATTATTGAATATATCAGCATGCATCCATCTACAAAGCATCTTAGGTTTTGTTTTTTTTTTTTAATAAATCTGCATTTTTTTTTTTTTTATTTGCTTGTTTATTTTACAGGGACAATACACTTGACATTGTTATACAAAGATAACCGATGTTGTGTACATAGGGCATATAGCATAAAGCTAATTTGCAGCCCTCGTCCCTGGTTAGGCTTTACATTATAAAAAAAAAAAATAATAGAAAATAATAATAATAAAGATAACCGGCAAGAATAAAACACAATACAGCAAACACGTACAATATTTACAGAGCCATAAACATAAGATGCAAGTCCATATGGATAAAGAGAAATGTAAATGGGACCAACCTGAAAGAGTAATGCTTAATGTTCACATTGCTGTAAAGATTTCAACCATTCTTTCAGCTTTACAGAAAAAAACTGGGAGTTCTGATTGTAACTTGAAATGAACAGGCATGGCATTCCATAGATGTGAACTAGGGTTGTAACGGTATGAATTTTTTACGGTATGATAATCGTCTAAAACAATACCGCGGTTTGACGGTTTCGCGGTATACGGTATTAAATAGTAATTCTCATAGCAAAGACCCTGAAAAGAATAAGAACACGTTTTCTGACTGAACAAAGGTTTTATTTCAACAAACTTTTGAAAGAACCATTTTAATAGAACTATAGAAGTCTTTTATAAAAATAAACTGAAAAAAATCCCATTTTAATAAATTAAATTAGAAGGAATAAACAAGCAGGGTCTTTTAAGATTAGACAAAAATAAACTTAAACTGTCCTTCCTTATAAGCAGGATAAATGGGAGACCAAAAGTGCAATACCAAGTTTATGGCTGTAAACATGTATTTAAAGCGTTGTTTTTTTCAGTCTAGGTTGTGATGAAGAAATGTAAGCATGTTGAGATTTTCAGGACTTAATCTTGACCACTGAGGTGAGAGAATGTGTCCACTTGTACAATGAACAAATAAAAAAATAAGAAAATAATAAATAATGTGTCAAAGTCCAAATAAACATGGTGCAAATCCTCAGTAAAAAAATAGATATAAATATTTACTATACTATAAATAGTTACATAACGAAACTAGATTCAATATGGAACATCCTTAGGTTTTATGTGCCAGCATGGATATGGTTGTCTGTGGATATGGATTTGGATATGGTTGTATGCAATGCAGACAAACAGCTGCATCTTCACTTGTGTCTTTTGAAAACAGCAAGAGCAGCAGTTCGTCTTTGCTGTGTCACTGTTTTGTCATGTTTCTGTGCTGCTGTGCATGCAAAACTACTTAGTATGAGAATTATTTCATGCAAAACTTTTTTTTTTTTTTGCGTTTTATTTAGCCGCGCAGAAATGTATGCCTATCTCTCATTCCGTGTTGTTCAAAAAGCTCAGTGTTGGTCCACAAACAAAAGTGAAACCTATGCTTATTGGTTGTGATATAGCGAGTTTGAACCAATCTGGGCATGGAGGAGGGACAATGCATCAATGTATCATGTCTGATTTGTCCGGAGACACAGTGACGAGCGTTTCTTTGTCAAATCAGCGTTGTCAAATTTTGATGACGTAACCGCACTGATTCCGGAGCCTCTGAAAGTCCGCGAATGTTATATACAGCACTAGAAAGCTGAGATTCTCTTCTTTATGCCAATCTTTGAATTGTATGAATCAGATCAGCGGATCAAAAGTTATTAAACATTTAAGAGCAATACTTATTTTTAGCCGCGGGCGCCAGTCTCGGTCTTTAAGGGTTAAAACCGTTGATATGCAATTGTTCATGGTATGATAATCGTGCACGTTCAAATCGTGGTAAACCGTCATACCGGTATATTGTTACAACCCTAATGTGAACCTTTTACCGAAAAGGATGACTGACCCACAGCGGTTCTGCATCTGTGGATTCTACAATTCCCACTTACTGCCCCTCTAGTCTTCGCCCCATCACTACTGAATTTATTTATTAACTCACAAACTACTTTAGGAGCAAGACCATGTATACACTTAAACATGTTTTTTAAAAACGAACTTTAAAAAATTATCAAAACTTAAATTATATTTTTTAAGTATTTGACAATGGTGCCATCTTATTGGTTTCTGATCCATTACTTTTTAAAGTTTGTTTGTAAAGAGATATTACAGGCTTAACAACTGACTGGGTTGCTTGACCCCAGATTATTTCACAATAAGACATACGTGAAAATATCATAGCATGCACAAACATTTGCGCTGCTTTAAGAGATATATATGGTCTCATCATACGAAAACAGTTTAAATTTGTCTTAATAGCCTTAGACATTTTCTTGATGTGGGCATCAAATTTAAGCTTCGAGTCTATGATGACACCTAGGTATTTAAATTCACTCACTTCCTTAATTTCCTTTTGGTCAATTTGGATTTTAAATGCATTTAGTGCTCTGTTTTTTGAGGAGAAACACATTGAAACTGTTTTGTTGTAATTTAGAGTTAGACAGTCGTCCTTCAGCCAGTGGGAAATACAGACCAGTTGATTAGTTAACATTTAAATTGTGTTGAACTTGTAAATAATTAATTTGAAACCTTAAGGCATTTCTCCTCAGTGAAACTAAGTTACATCCACACACACTCATTCAATAAGGTGAACCCCAGTGTTTATACACTCATATGACACAGCACGACTGTACATAGATTAGTTTAATCCCCGTATTGCTCGCATTAATATCTTATAATAACATTTATGAAGTTTAGTCGTGTTTATTGCAGTGTTAACATACGATATCCCTATAAATATTTACTATATTAACATGTGGTAATGTTATTAAGCTAATTAACCAATTAAGTGTTCAAGCATGTTATGAACACCTCAAATACAAGGTGAATATTCTTAAAAAGCACACTAGAAGTTTACATCATAAATAATTATTCACTGTATTTTGAAGTGTTCACGATATCAGTATTGTGCATGTTCATTAATCACGCTATATTTAATTACTGAATATATGCGCCTACAAAGCAAATGGTCATTTTAGGTTGTTTTTTAAATCAATTTGTGTGCAAATAATTATTTTGAAACCTCCTCAGGCATTTCTCCTCAGTGAAACTAAGTTACATCCCCACACACTCATTCAATAAGTGTTTAAACACTCATATGACGCAGTATGTACATAGATTAGTTTAATCAATGTATTGCTCGCATTAATATCTTATAATCACATTTATGAAGTTCAGTCGTGTTTATTGCAGCCTTAACATACAATATCCCTATAAATATTTACTAGATTAACATGTACTATTTTTAATTAACCAATTAAGTGTCCATGCATGTTATGAACACCTCAAATACAATATGAATATCCTTAAAAGCACACTAGAAGTTTACATCATAAATAATTATTCCCTGTATTTTGAAGTGATCATGATATCAATACTGTGCATGTTCATTATCACGATATATTTAATTATTGAATATATCAGCATGCATCTACAAAGCAAATTGGTCATATTAGTTTTTTTTATATATATAAATCTGTATTAAATTGTGTTGTAAATAATTATTTTGAAACCTTAAGGCATTTCTCCTCAGTGAAACTAAGTTACATCCACACACACTCATTCAATAAGGTGAACCCCAGACAGTGTTTATACACTCATATAACACAGCACGACTGTACATAGATTAGTTTAATCACTGTATCGCTCGTATTCATATCTTATAATAACATTCATGAAGTTTAGTCGTGTTTATACCAGCCTTAACATACAACATACCTATAACTAGTCATTAGTATGTCATGTGAAAATAGTATTAAGCTAATTAAGTGTCCAAGCATGTTATGAACACCTCAAATACAAGGTGAATATTCTTAAAAAGCAAACTAGAAGTTTACTTCATAAATAATTATTCACTGTATTTTGAAGTGTTCACGATATCAATATTGAGCATGTTCATTAATCACTATGTTCATTAATCACTCATTTAATTACTGAATATATGCATCTACAAAGCAAATTGGTCATTTTATGTTTTTTTTTTAATCAAGCTTAATAAATCTGCATTAAATTGTGTGTAAATAATTATTTTGAAACCTCAAGGCATTTCTCCTCAGTGAAACTAAGTTACATCCACACACACACTCATTCAAGGTGAAACCCAGTGTTTATACACTCGTATGCCACAGCACGACTTTCCTAGATCAGTTTAACCACCGTACTGCTTGTATTACACATCTTATAATCACATTTATGAAGTTTAGTCGTGTTTATTGCTGCGTTAACATACGATATCCCTATACATATTCACTAGATTAACATGTGGTAATGTTATTCAGCTAATTAACCAATTAAGTGTCCATGCATGTTATGAACACCTCAAATACAATATGAATATTCTTAAAAGCACACTAGAAGTTATTATTCACAGAAATAATTATTCCCTGTATTTGAAGTGATCATGATATCAATACTGTGCATGTTCATTATCACGATATAATTAATTACTGAATATATCAGCATGCATCTACAAAGCAAATTGGTCATCCTAGGTTGTTTTTAAAATAAATCTGTATTAAATTGTGTTGTAAATAATTATTTTGAAAGCCCAAGGCATTTCTCCTCAGTGAAACTAAGATACATCCACACACACTCATTCAATAAGGTGAACCCCAGTGTTTATACACTCATATGACACAGCACGACTGTACACATATTAGTTTAATCACCGTATTGCAAGAATTAGTAGCTTATAATAAAATACATGGCGTTTTTTCGTGTTTTCTGCGGTATTTTCGCAGTTTAGTGTCAGATTTACGCTGTACTGTGTTGGATATGGGCCTGCAGTGACTCAGGCGGATTCACTGTCTGTCAGTATCGCGTGCGTTTTCCATGTTTCTCACCAGCTCCTGCTCCTCTTTCTTATCTTTATCCTTCCCCGCCGGTTGTTTGTCCTTCTCCTCCTTGGTCTCGGCCTGCTTTTTCTCCTTTTTTGCGGTTTCCTCCATGGTTTTGCTGCTGGTGTTCCTCTGAATGCGACTTAGTACCGCTACCGCTACTGCTTCTTCTTCTTCTTCTTGTGTGGTGTTGAGTGTGACTGACAGCACGCGCTCCACCGCCACCTGCTGAAGGCACTCAACACTGCAGCGCATTACCGCCACACACCGGCCGCATACAATACTGCATTAAGGATTTTTCACATTTTGCTCACTTTTAAGATTGCGTTTTGGTAATTTTAATGTATAATAATTGTAAAAACAAACATTTTAATCATTTTAAGTTTTTAAAAACATTCCTTTGGATTTTAAAACAGGGTCTACATTCTTGTTTTGACCTATGTACTCAAATTTGTATACTTTGCTTATACAAAATAATTTATAAAGTTAAATGATTCAGTTTCTTTTACTTTTGCCTGTACTATAATAGTATTATAATACATATGAATATTAATAAAAAGTAATTTATCTTCATGCTTCTTTTATTTGTAATAAAATAATAAAATAATTCATTAAAGTTGAGCAAAATAAAAAACTATATTCAATTCAATTCAATTTAGCTTTATTTGTATAGCGCTTTTACTATGTAACAATGTCGTCTGTCCCTGGAGCGTCACTGGAATCAGTGGAATCTCATACTCTCCACTCCCCCATGACCAACAGCGCAGCAGCAGCTCAGGATACGGCCTGGTCCAGGATTATGGACACCTTGGGATCATCTTGTCGCTGGTCTTGGGTCCAATCAGTGACTCCGCATAATCCGAGGACCTCGGGATGAGTATCCCCAGGTGGAAATGGACTAACAATGAACAAAAAATCTAAAAAACAAACAAAATCAAGATAAAATACATTCATACACAAACAAAGGGAAAATAAAGAGAATATGTACATGCATAAAAAAAAACAAACATAAATATTAGACCGAAATATCAAAGCAAACAAATATATTATATAAATAATATATTAATGTATCTATAATAATTATAATATATTATATTGTAATTATAATATATGAAATTGTAAATAATAATTATAATATAATAATGTATAATAAATATTATTTTAACATAAAATATATTAAATAATAATAATAATAACAACAACAACAACAACAACAACAACAACAACAACAACAACAACAACAACAACAACAACAATAATAATAATAATAATAATAATAATAATAATAATTTTCCCAGAACTGGATTGTGGCTGGAAGGGCATCCACTGCGTAAAACACATGCTGGAAAAGTTGGTGGTTCCTTCCGCTGTGGCAACTCCTGATTAATAAAGGGACTAAGTCGAAAAGTTAATGAATGAATGAATGAATGAATGAATGAATGAATGAATGAATGAAAAAACTAGACCAAAACAAAGTTAGATTAGATTAGATTCAACTTAATTGTTATTACACATGTACAAGTACAATGCAATGAAATGCAGTTTAGGTCTAACCAGCAGTGCAATAGCAGCAAGTGCAGGATACAGGTATAAGTTATAACGTGCAGTTATAGAAAACTATGGTGATATTTACAGATGGATGTACTATCAACATTAAATCCAGGTTGGATAAGCTATTTCTCTGTGTTGGCGTGGGTTTCCTTTGGGTACTCCAAATAAAAAATACCATATGGAGAAAAAAAAAACAATAAAAAAAATTAAGAAAATACATTTATAAACAAATAAAGGGAAAAATAAACAGCATAAAAAAAGAAACAAACATAAAAAGTAGACATATTAAACATATTAAAGCAAATATATTTATTAAATAATTACATATTTTATTGCATTCATGTAATTATAATAATTATAATATATAATATTGTCCCAAATGTTTCTATTTTTCAGGTAAATATTGTTTTAACATAATATATATTTTAAAATATGAACATTTTATATAATAATAATAATATTAACAATAATAATGATAATAATGGGGGTGGCATGATGTCTCAATGGTTAGCACTGTGGCCTCACAGCAGGAAGGTCGCTGGTTCGAGTCCATGGCTAGGTCAGTTGGCATTTCTGAGGGGAGTTTGCATGTTCTCTCCGTGTTGGTGGGGGTTTCCTCCGGGTGCTCTGGTTTCCCCCACAGTCCAAACACATGCGCTATAGGGGAATTGATGAACTACATTGGCTGTAGTGTGTGTGCATGTGTGTGTGTGTGTGTGTGTGTGCGTGTAAATGAGCATATATGGGTGTTTCCCAGAACTGGTTTGGGGCTGGAAAGGTATCATATGTGCATAAAAACATTTGCTGGAATAGTTGGCGATTCATTCCGCTGTGGCGACCCCTGATAAATAAGGGACTAAGCCGAACATGCAAACTCCACACAGAAATGCCAACTGGCCCAGCCGAGACTTCAACCGACAACTATTGTCATTAAATATATATGTTTAATCTGCTTATTGTTTCCCCAATTTCTGTTTAACGGAAAGCAGATTTTTTCCTCACATTTATAATCATAATAGTTTTAATAACTCATCTCTAAAAACTGATTTATTTAATCTTTGTCATGATGACAGTAAATAATATTAGACTAGATATTCTTCAAGACACTTCTATACAGCTTAAAGTGACATTTAAAGGCTTAACTAGGGTAATTAGGTTAACTAGGCAGGTTAGAGTAATTAGGCAAGTTATTGTATTATGATGGTTTGTTCTGTAGACTATTTAAAAAATATAGCATAGTGGTTAATATTATTGATCTTAAAATGGCATTTAAAAAATAATAACTGCTTTTATTCTAGCCGAAATAAAACAAATAAGACTTTCTCCAGAAGAAAAAATATTATCAGACATACTGTGAAAATTTCCTGAATCTGTTTAACATCATTTGGGAAATAATTAAAAAAGAAAAAAAAATCAAAGAGGGCTAATAATTCTGGCCTCAGGCCTAGTTCATTTATTTACAGTGTCACAGATCTTTTTTTTTTCATTAATATTTTCTACAGCAGTGGTTCTCAAACTTTTTTCATCAAGTAACACCTCAAAAAAAAAAAAAAAAAAAAAGGTCTCTCTAAGTACCACCATAATGAGCAGTATTGAAATACAGTAAGCTCAGTAAAGCAGCTAAAGCTCTGTACACTTCAAAATGTGTCAGATTAATTCCTATTATTAAGAATAGGTATTATTGTCAGCCACTTTAAACATTATAAATAGTCTGAACGTAAACACTGTACTGTGCTTATTTGTAAAAAAACAAAACAAAAAAAACAACAACAACTAAACAAACAAACAAACAAACAAAAAACAAAAAAAATGTCCACATTAAATTAAAATGTGCTTTTATAATGGTGGTTACTGTTATTAAAAAGTAAAAAAAGTGCTTAAAAAAGTATTAACATATAGTAGTCAATTCATCAACACCTGAAAATGTTGCCTGGACCTCAGAAATATAGGCTGTATGTCATATAATGAATATTATTATATTTTATATTTCTATAAAAATCATTTTTGATACAGTTTGCAATATATGTAGCATGCACATATGACATATTTGATTCCTCTGCATACCACTAGAAGGAAGCGCACGTACCACAGTTTGAGAACCACTGTTCAACTGGATAAATTAAGAGAATATATTTGTGCATATACACATTAGATCAGTCAGTACCAAAGCCAAAACTGGAACTAATCTAACAAAACAACTGCAGATTGCAGTCCAAACATTTGTACACCCAAATTAATATCTTTGAGGAAAATGCTAAATTATAAATAAACAGGAAAAATCAAGAGAAACATCATTATTTTTGTAATTGTAATTTTTTTTTTTTTGCAATAATTGCTTTTAATTTTCTTTCTATTTCTAAAGATGTGCAATGACCAGACACTTATTACAACGAATATCATTCTTTAGTAAAACTATTCTGTTCAAATGCACCAACATTTTTACTAAAATATAGGATAAAATAGATAAAAAATATACATTTTCAAAACTGGGGTGTCCTCATTTATGCTGAGAGCACTGTGTATCACCAGCTTTACAGTGCAATAGTGCAGCATTGCACAACAGAACAAACTACCACTGCATTTCACAAACAGCAGGTGGCTCCAGAGCCCCAAACACGGAAATGAAACGTGTGAAAGTAAAAATGTGTCTTAGGGTGTGTGTGTGTGTGTGTGTGTGTGTGTGTGTTGCTGCATCTGTCTGAACACATACACACACAGAGAAACTAAACATTCAGGATCCTTCAGCACCAGTGAGTTCACGACAAGAATAAATCTGACTTTAATATCAATTTACACGAAGACCTTTGCAGTCACTTCTGCACCATCAGGATACATCAAAAATGGTCACATTTTATTGCAGTTTTGGTCAAATGTTTTTGTGTTAATATAGAGAGAAATGTATATCTGTGATGAAATGCTTAATTTCCAGCATCATTCATTCATTCTGCATCACCTTTATAGTTATATTTATTGTGTTTGTTTGTAACATTTAAGATTATACTCAGTGCTGAAAACGGTTCGTATTTTTGTTAAAACCATGATAGAAATATTTGGAGATGTTATTAAGAGTTTGGAGAATATAATATAACTATATCATTTATTTATATATTGTAAACACCATGTATAAATCTGTTTTAACATTATGAATACCTTTAAAGTCAATTTAATATGTCCATGACAAATAAAATTCTTCTTTTGTGTTTATTATGTAATCCTATTCAATGTAAACTTCAGAAACTACAAGAGCAATGATTCGCAGACAAAATAATGAACATTAATTATACACAGTCGCAAATAAATCCTTTGTATTACTTTTATTACACATGAAATGTAATGTTACTACTTTTGGATTACTTTTAGATTACTTTTATTACACTTATGGTGACAGTCTGACTGCTTCATTTATGGTGATGTAATCTGACTACTTTTGGATTACATTTAGATTACATTTATTACACACTTATGGTGATGTAATCTGACTACTTTTAGATTACATTTAGATTACATTTATTACACACTTATGGTGACAATCTGACTACTTTTAGATTACATTTAGATTACTTTTATTACACATTTATGGTAACGTAATCTGACTACTTTT